TGCATTTTGTTCCTTCTCTTTGTCATTTTGTATACCACTGTCTTCTGACCTTTGGTGTAGAGCTTAGATAGAGGGATTACCTTAGCACCAGGTCCGGATCTATGAAGTTCAGATTCCTCCAGGTGGGTGTTGCTTGGATCTGGCTGCTGTGCTCCACTTCTTTCTGCTGCAGGCATTAGAGTTGAACCCTTTGTGTCTCTCTGGCAAGATGTTCTGTTCCTGAATCAGCTGGGTGGATCTTGTCTCTAGCCTCTTTGCAGCGAGTTCTGCTGAAGGGTTCTGTGCTTGGCCTGCACTCTGGGTCGAATGAGAATCCAGTGAGCCCCGGGTGGTGTCATTCACACACCGGGCCTGTGCTCTGGGTCTATTCAGGATCTGGCAGCCCCGGGTGGTCTCACTGCCGATGAATGCTTTTTAGAAACAATGTAATTTTACTGAAATGAAACCTGTTCAAGTTGGAAGGTCCACTGTGGGGCTCTGAGAGTTCCAAATTCTCACTGGGTTGGTGAAGATTCCACATACAAATTCTTTGACATTATCCTTATTGATCCATTCCACAAAGCCATCAGAAGAAATCCTGACACCCAGTGGATCACCAAACCGTCCATAAGCACAGGAAGACGCATGAGCTGACATCTGCAGGCTGCACGAGGCGTGGCCTTGGAAAGGGCCACAAGGTCCGCCACACTATTGGTGGTTCTTGCTGTACAGCGTGGAGAAGGCGCAATACTCTCCAGCTCCACCGTTACTGCTGATAATATAAGTGATGTTTGTAAAATTCATAACCCAATAAACAATATAGGACAATTAAAAAAAAAAAACCAAAACAAGTTGGAATAGCCCAATATAGATATTTGGTTTTTTTCTGCCTTCTTATGTTAGAGAAAATGACATGGAGGCATTAGGACAGATTTGAGCAGGCCCTGTGGCTTAGAGGGGAGTAGTGCATCAGCATTAATTTTCCTCATTGTGGTTGTGCGGTTACGTTGGGGAATGTCTTTGTTTTGGGGAAATTGACACTGAGTGCATCAGGAGTAAGGGGTGTTATGTCTGCACCTGACTCTAAAAATGGTTCTAGAAAAAACATACATGTGTGAAGTCCTGCGTTTATGGATAGAAGGAGGACAAATATGAAGTATTAAAATAAGAAATCTGGGAGAAAGGTTTGGAACTTCCCCCCTTTTCTCAGTACCCTTCCTTCAGCCCTGTTTCCCCCATTTACAACAATTTGTTTCTATTTTATCTTTTATTTTTCTTTTTTTAATTTTTTAAAAATGATTTTGGACTTTCATCTTTTCTATTTTTAGTTTTAGTTTTAGCTTTAGCTTTTTGAGACAAGGTCTCACTCTGCAGTTCAGGCTGGCCTTGAACTCACTGTGTAGCCTGGGCTGGCCTCAAGACTCATGCTGTCCTCCTGCCTCAGGCTCCTGAATGCTGAGATTACAGTTATGTCACCATGTATGCTCAGCCAGATTTGGGACTTTATGAAAAATATTTTTAAAATCAAATGTTACAGGGCTGGGGAGATGGCTCAGTGGAATAAGCGCTTCCCTGGCAAGCACAAGGGCCTGAGTTCAATTCCTGGTTGGGGGGGGGGGGGACGGGAAATCAAATGTTACAAAAAGTTGGATACTTGGGAGGAATCAAGCCAGCCAAACCTAAAGGCATTCTGAGCCAGCCCCCCCAAAAAAATCGTAAAAGTGTTTTAATACTGGCTTATTAAGTGCTAATCAGAGTAATAATTTATTATTCAGTTTGAAACAGTTTCATTTTATGTCAGGTTGGCCTTAAGCTCACTATGTAGCACGGTGTGGCCCAGAACCTGCAACAGTCCTCAGCCTCCTGACAGTGGGAATTACAGCTTGTGCAGCCATGTTTGGCTCATTGAACTAAAATTCTAAGAATTACGAATAGACTGTCTTTAGTCAGATTTTATATTTAAATTTTTATGAAGTGGTCAGTGTTGAAAATCTTACATTGAAAATATACAAAAAGAACTAAAGAATAGACTTTGAAATGAGTTATGTGTTGTAATTAAAAGTCATTGGAGCCAGGTGTGGTGCTGCACTTGCGATCCTAGCACTCGAGAGGCCGAAGCAGGAAGATCTCTTGAGTTTGAGGCTACATCATGACTTCAAGGGCAGCCTAAGTTATCTAGCGTGAACCTGTTATCAAAAAAGATCATTAGTTGCTTTTCATGAAATGACAAGATAGTGGGCCCTGTTATTATTATTATTCCCTTTGTGTGCTACTGGGGATCACGCTTAGGGGCTCCCATGTGCTGGGCCAAGTCCTCTACTATGGAACTGTATATCCTTAGGCCTTGGAGTCTTTATTTATTTATTTATTTATTTATTTATTTGTTTATTTGGTACAGCGTTTCACTACTGCTTGGACTCTAGTGATCCTCCAGTCTCTGGATCGCCAGCGCTGGGATTAGAGGCACACACTACCACTCCTGGTTTCAGTGGCTCACTCAGTGCAGGGCCAGGATGACATGCGGTGCTAGGGATGGAACCTGGGTCTTTGCACTTGCCAGGCAAGTGCTTAGACCGCTGAGCTGTCTCTGGCCCTGGAGTCCTAAATCCTAAATTTCATTTAAGACTGCCACAGAATAGTGAGGTAGTTCCAACTAGTGGTTAGTGATGTTTGAAGAATTTCAGATATGTAATTGTGTTTTAATCCTCATTATTCTAAAGATAATTATAAAAATGTATTATGTCTAGGTATGTTGCGGAAAAGCATTTAAAGTACAGACATTTTAGTGAAGAAACTTTGTTAGTGAGAAGTTATTTTCCTAGTAAAAAGTTGTGAAACCAGTTGTCTGTAGCAGGAGTAAGAAGGTACCAGAGAACGTATTGTGGTTGTCTTTAGGGTGTTTGCCTTAGAAACTTATTTCATTTTAGACCCGAATCAGATACTTCATCTGAATAGAATTGACTTATTTTTATTATTTTAATTGGTAAGTAGTATTTGTAGTAAATGAAATTGTAAGGCAGCCTAACAGTTTGATGCAGGTTTCAAGTTTCTGTGCGTGAGGCTTGCTGGATGTGCGTGCTAACAGCAGACAGTAGTATTGGGTCAGCACTACCAGTGGTTTTCATGTCAATTCACTTTTACAGTCCTAAACTTTGGATAAACCTATTCATAAACAAGATTACAATATGCATGTTTGTTCTCCAATATTGAGAATTTATTTTTTAAAGTTAATTCTTAGTTTTCGTAGTGTTCTAGCATTCCTTTTTAGCATATCATTTTATCTGTGACTGGAAATTAGAGGTTGTCTTCGAACCAAATAAATAGTCTGACCACTTAACTTGATAGGTAAGAAGTGTAACCACAGCAGGCTTGGTTAGTCATGACTATAGGTATGAAAAGGAGTGAATTACAGAAATGAAAATGTGTCTCACCTCCTTCCTGAGACTTGAACAGAAACTCTTGTTGTGTGAGGCTTTTTGTGTAACAGCAATGATAAAAGGAAGAGGCTAACGTATTTCATTGAATTCCATCATTTTGGCTCTCTTTTTCAAAATGGAATATAGTATATGTGAAAACTAGTCATATACTAGTCTATTTGCTAGCTATGCAGTTTTGTGCAATCTAGAATCCTCTCTAAACCATAGCTTATTGGTAAAATGGAGAAAACTAGAGCTCCTACATAATAGTATTGGTTTCAAAGTTCACTGAGATATATGTGTGTAGAAAACAATTGTAACAAAATGTAGCATATGGTAAGATGGTTTTGTTCATTATTATAAGTATTTATTATATAGAGCTATTTTGCAGAGGAAATAGGAAGAGTTGAGGTGCTATTGATGTTCAGGTAATACACCTTTATTAAATTCTAGACACGGTTGGAATGCTGTTTATATTTAAGCAGATAAGAATAAAAGTATTTTTAATATTGGTGTTTGTTTTGTTCTAATAGGTATCAACAGCTGTTGCATACAAACTTGGTGTATCTCGCTACCATAGCAGACTCTAATCAGAACATGCAGTCTCTTTTACCAGCTGTAAGTACCTTGAAGCTAGTGTGAAATTGATGTTTTTTATAGTTACATATAGCATATGACATGTTTTTGTGTAGTGAATTTTGAATTTTGCTTAGTAGATTCTGAAATAACTCTGAGAATGTAAAAGTAGTCTACATTATGTAAAAGCTTTATTGTTTTGCTCTCATTTAATTTGAATTCCTTCATCTATAAGCACTACCCTTCCTGAGGAAATTGTATCCATTTACCTGTCTACCACTTAACTACCTCTGTGCCTATTTTTTAAATTTTATTTGCACAAATAATTGCTTAGTGATTTGGAATATTTCAAAGAAAACACTAGACATTGTATCATTTTACTGGTAAGTACTTCAGTATGCCTCCAGTGTAGCAGATAGGTATTCTGTCCCCTAACAAAATTAACCATTATTTCTTAACATCTTTTAATATGTAATCTGTTTCACTTATCTCAAGAAACCTAAATGTTTAAATGTTTCCTTGCCTCAGAAAAAGGTACACATATAGAATTTGTTGGTATTTGTATTGTTTTAAAACCTGGATCAGTTTACCACTTTTTCTTTTTTGTTGGAGGAGTTGAATCATATATTGTATAAATTTTCTCATTCTGTATTTTGCTGGTTGTATCATAGTGTTTTAAAATGTTCATGGGTATTCTAACGTGTTCGTCAATCTCTTATTTCATGTAAACTGATAGATTTAGTTAGGTTTAGCTTTTAGTTAACCCATTTCATTGGTGGTGCTGTGGATTTCTTGTTGTGTCACCTGAGGAAAAACATGCTAGTGTTGTAGCTGTTGCACAGTTAGCAGCATTAGGTTGAACAGCTGGGTATAGTTAATGACAGCCTATTATAAAGTTCCCCATTACCTTTCATTTAATACTTTCAGTAGTCATTTTTGCTTTTGTTTTAGGATATCAGAATGGTAAATTTCTAATTTTACAATCCCTCTTACTGTTACTAGCTGTAATTCTTGTAAAATGAAAAGCTTCATTTCATCAAGTATTTATTACTTTGAAATTAGAGAACCCCTATAGGAAAGTCCAGATAAGGCTTGATTTTATCCCTTTGTTAGATTTCGGAATTCCAAGTTGGTTTCTGGCAACTTGTAAAGGTGGCCAGTACATTTTGGGCTTTGTGCTCAGATTACAAGTGTGCATCACTGTGTCTAGATTTGATATTTATTTATTTATTTATTCATTTGCTCTGAATGCCTTCAGGGCAGGTTTGGCTGGCTTGAGTTGTGGGGATCGAACCACAGTAACCTGAGCCTGACTGCTTTGTTGAAGCAGCCACTTAAAGAACTGAGCTACAGGGCAGGCTCCCTGATTTTTATATTTTTAATATCTTAAAATTCATTGGTGTAGGGGGCCTGCTGGTTAGCTCAGTTGTTTAAGTGCCTGCTCATGCAAATGTAGTCAGGTGCAGGATACCAAGGTTCGATCCCCAGCTCTACCTGCTTTAACAGACCCGCCCTTAAGGCAGCCTGAGCTAGCCAATAAAAAAATCCTTCACAGCTTTTTGGACTGGGGAGATAGCTCAGTGGCTTAAGCACCTTCCTGGCAAGCACACATTCCTGAGTTCAATCCCTAGTACCACACACACACACACACACACACACACACACACACATTCATTGGTGTTATTCTTCTTGATGCTCAAATTATCTTTTTCTTGATCAGTTGAATCCCTCTTTTTTTTTTTTTTTTTTGCGGAATTGGGGATTGAACGTACGCCCTTGTGCTTTCCAGGAAAGCGCTTATTCCACTGAGCCATCTCCCCGGCCCCCAAAATATGAATTTTTTTTTGGGGGGGTGGTGAGCTGGGGATTAAATTCAGGCCCTTGTGCTTGCCAGGCAAGGGTTTATTCTACTGAGCCATCTCCCTGGCCCACTTGAAGCCTTTTAATTTGACCTAATGTTCTTATGTGACTAGTATTCTTCTGTAGTTTCTTTGCTTTCAGAATTTGAGAGATGAGATTGATTATATTTTATGCCCCGTAACTGGATTCAACTTTTTAAACATAAGAATAGTAGTTAGGGACCACTGTTTGAAAGCTTGGCATATTTGTTATTACTGGACTGGCCTAGTTTTTAGGCCTTAGTGAATAGAACTGGTTCATACTTTTTTTTTTTATGTATTTAGTACAGGGACTACAGGGCCTCACTACACAGATCGGTTGTTAGTGATCCTTCCTGTTTTACTGCCTCTCAAGCACTGGGCTTACAGGCGTGCGCCACAACGCCCAGTCTCAGTCTCTGTCTCAGTGTGCCCCAGGGGTGGGGCCAGTGTGGCAAGTCGGGGATTGAACCTCTGGCCCCTATGTCTGCCTAAGCAGGCGTTTTAATCTGCTGAGCTATCTGGTTGGCCCTGGGTAATACATTTTAACAAGAAAATTAAATATTAACATTTTAATGATATATTCGTTTCAGGAAAGTTTTTTTACTTGTGATGTTATATATCGGTGAAAATATTACTTCCTTATGACTTTAGTGTAATTGCTTATTTTATATTTATTAAAATACATTAATAATACTTGTTAAGATACTTCCTGCTGGAGATACTAATCAGTACATTTCTCTTTGTCTTGAAGTAGTTATTTTGTATGTAGCTGTAGCCATGAAACTTGATTACTGGCTAGATAGAATTTACTTTTCTAGATAGTGGGAGGTAGAGGTTTACTTTTTTTCCCCCCTGTATTTAGGATAGGGTCTACAGGGTCTCACTACACAGATCAGACTCTAGGGATTCTCTTGTTTTCAGCCTCCCAAGCACTGGGAATACAGGTGCACGCCATCATGCCCAGTCTCAATTGCTGTCTCAGTGTGCCCTGCGGGTGGGACCGGCACACTGGGAATCAGACCTGGGATCGAACCCAAGCTACTGTGTTCTGCCTAAGCAGCCGCTTTAGTCTGTTGAGCTATCAGGCCGGCCTGAGGTTTACTTTTGTTTGTTTTCATGTGGATTGGTCTCTATCTTAGCATTATTTATTGCAAAACCAAACAAAAAAACCACATTTTTTCTTTTTTAAAATTTTTTTATTTTTTTCACAGTTTTTCTATTTTATTTTATTTTTTTAAAAATTTATTTATTTGTTTTATTTATTTACTTATTTATTTTGTGTGTGTGTGTGGCCAGCTCAG